GAGGTTGGCTCCAGCAGTGAGTCAGTCTCCATAAGGCCCCATATTTAAATGTCCAACAAGCAGAAATAAACATGTTTACAGCCTTTTGGTCTCTAGAGCTAACGTCTCTGTTCATGATAACTGTACAACTCACCACTTTAAATTATATTAAAGATAAAAGTTTGGCATAATTAAGGGCTGCTTGGAGTGAGCTGTTTTCAGTAACTAGGTTTCATTCAGCCTCAGCTCCACCTCTTTGCTGGCAAAGTCAGAACTGCCAAGATGGCGACCTGTGGGTGACGTCACGGAAACTACGGCCATTTTTATTTACAGTGTATGTTCAGAGCGTTTTTTTTTTTTTCCTTTAAGTGACAAACTGACAGGAATTACAGTTTCTGGGGATCAGGACATTACTCCATGAAGCATCCTGGTCTGTTTCAGACAGCTCAGGATGAAACCAGGCTGTAAATCTGCCCGCTGCATCCAGCTGCTGCAGCTTAATGAGGCCTCCTGGGTAATGTAGTTTTTTTCCTAACATAGGAGGATGAGGAGGAGGGAATGGAAAACAAAAATGTGGGAGTGATAAAGCTTGAACAGAGGAAAAAAAGTGGGGGGCAGTTAAAAGACAAAGGGAAAAGTGAGGAAAGGTATAAGGACAAAGAGAGAAAATGTCTGAACTTAAAAAAGAGGAAGTGAGTGATGAGTATTAAGAGTAAGAAAGTCTGTGTGAGCTTAAAAACACACGTTTAATGATTCATTATTTTCTTAATAGATTCAGTTTGGTGATATTGTTAAGCTATCCTCATCCTCCTTCACATTTTTTTTTTTATTGTGTGATTGCTGCTACTCTTTTTCTTCTTCCGTAAATTTTTTGGACTGTTACAACTCCCACATTTTTGCAGATACACATAATTCAAATTTTCACATGTAAATCCTGTTAGTGTCATTTTCTTTTTGATATCTGTTACAGTTATTGCAATGTGAATATTTTACTGTCATTGTTTTTAATGGACCATCAATGGGAGTCACATATACACATGTAAATCTACAATAATATAAATGTTAAAGTCAGCAAACCAGGTGAACCATGGAGATGTGCTAAACATAATAAGCATGTGTTCAATAGCGTCACCATGTGGTCGGTTATCAAGTGTTTCAAATTCCAACACTTTACAAAATCGAAATAAATCTCCCATAGCATACCGAGCAGAATTTCATTCAGCACATCCACTGAACTGTGACAAAGGTTTGTCCAATGTATTTGCTACCTTTGGCACGTATTTCATCTAATTTTCACAAAAATCAGTACATGGCATATTTAGATGAAGCCGAACAAGACTTTTAGGTTTGTGTTTAGGTATCACTTATCATTTGTCTGTAATTGGTGACCAAACGTTTGAGAGCATGACCCGAGCCATAATTCTCCAATGCTGACAGTAGTTCCACAGCAATACTATGTTACAGAGGACAAGACAGATACAGGGCAGAGGTCAGTGCTGTATACAGGGCATAGGGCTGTACTCTTTGTTTGATTTAAATAACAGTAACAATAATGATATTATTGTTGTCAAATAGGTCAAAGCTCAGTGCCGTAGATACAGGGCAGAGGTAAATACTGTAGATGCAGGGCAGAGGTCAGTGCTGAAGATACAGTGATTTTGTTTTTAGATATGATTATAAATGTTATCTAAATATTTTTTTCAAGCAACCAAATACAAAACAACTTGGGTGACCAGATAATAATGAGTGACTTTTATGAGAGGGGAGTTAGGAGTGGGCGTGGTCACACAGCCACTTATTCTGACTATCCTGGCTGTTTACAGAATGCATGAACCATTACGCCCTGGTGACAGGTATGTTGCAGTCGTTTTAAACATATTCTCAGCAAATCATTAAGCTGTAGGAGCTTATAAACAATGTTTTAGATCTGTCATCTGGGTTAAAACAGTCCGAATTATATCAACAATCCATTATTTATGATAATTAGTCAGGAATACAAATGTTATTACATATTTCACTCAATAACTAACTTAATAACTAAAGGCAGGAATTATAGCCTACATAAGTGATATGATTGGAATATTTTCACAGATTGATCTACTATAATTCATTTAAAATAATGATAATTTCAATGTTAAATGTATAAACCAGCAGAGAACAAACCGCATGAAAACACGGGGGACACGCTACACTACAGATCCTAGAGGCCTCACAGTAAAAAGCTGGTGAAAGTGTGTTTCTGGGCAGCAGCCCCTGCTGTCAAAGCCTCAATTAATCCAATGTGCTGTGTGTCACCGCTGGCTGTTATTAAGTGTGTGAAGCAGCTTCGCTTCACAGCCTGCAGAGAGGAAACAGCAGTTTGTTCTCTGAAGGGAAAACCTGAGCGCTTTAGAGAGTCTGTCTTTAGGGTGGAGTCCAACGACATCTAGTGGCTCAGCCTGAAAACTGCAGGACTGTGGGTAAGACAGATA